GGTGGTGGTGGTGGTGGTGGTCGGTATCAGTTAGCAGGATTAGAGGAGTATCCTCAGGGCATGCTGTTGTTGACGCTTGTTCACGTTCAACTCGTACCCACCGCCGCCGCCACTGGAACGTTCTTTGTCGGTATCGTCCTTTTCGCAGAGCAGGAAGTGTTGTGGAAACAGGGGAAGCGGCAGCGATGGTAACGGAACGAGTGGGAGGACTTCAGCTTCTCCGTCGCCTATAAAAGCCGGCAAGTACAAGGAACTACGCAAGAAAGCATTGGGCCAGTTAACGGAACTCAAGCATACCCCAGGAGCGGTTTTAAGTCCGTCTGCGCACTCGTCCTTCTCCGGAAGATGTGGAAATGACTGACATTGGCCAGACCTCGGTCGTGATTTATTTGACCACCCCGCATCTGATTTAGCCGATGAAGCGAAAACGGAGCTGAGTGGATGGGGTGGCGAGGAAGCGATGGGATAAAAGAACAAGACCCCTAAACCCCATTATTCTTGTGATTGGCGGGTCTTTTTCCTCTTGGCTAATAATGCTCGCGGACGAGAGAAGGAACTAACAAACGATAAAAATTTCAAGCTGGGACGTAATAAGTCGACTGAATGGAACAATAATGAGTTAGATGACGGAAATTAAGCCAGCAGAAAGAATGAAGGCCTGGTTGATAGACTACCAAGTGACAGCAACTCGAAAGCTATGACATGACGGTTTGAAGATAATAAAGTTGATCTGGCCCAGTCGTGAAAAACTCTGCTGCCTCAGGGAGGTTCGAATCCACGAGAGCAAGTGCAAGACATATGCACAGCCGACGCTCTAATCACTTTAGCAGCAAGACCCCGTCCGGCGCCGTGAGTTTAACCACATTTGAATCCAGTTACCCACCCAACCTACTGCGACCCATGAAATCCTCCGAATAAGGGAGTTGAATTTTTAGCTGCAAGCGGTGAGTAACGCTTCGATGGCGGATGTGCCAACAACAGACACTGCACAACCTGCATTTGACAGGCTTTTGCGATTTTGAGAAATCGCTTGGCACGACTTTAGTCACTGCAGTGTGAGTGATTCGCAGTGTCTCGGGGAGAGGGAGTTTTCAGGTCCGAAATCAAACTGCTAGTATCACAAGTGACGATCATCACGGACAAGTTCAAACAAAAATATCGATGAAATCAGTATGCGATAGCCGTTCAAATTACCATCCAACCGGTCGCCGCTCCAAAGGTCTAAAAGGTGAGATACAAGTGCTAATAAGTGACCTAGAGTGGACCTGGATGCAATTCCTTAATGGTTCAAATGACAACATCAAAATTACTATCGTTTATATCAATATCGACTAAAAGGTGAATGAGCACAAAGTAATTTCGGATAATGCTCCAAACTAAACTCACTTGAGCATGCCAAAAATCGCATCCTCTAGCGTATTTCGACACTGTGGGCAAGAGCAGCTAGTTTCAGCGCCCTCCAGCACAGCCCTATCAAAATTTCAAGTTGTTTTTCCATAAAGCATTTGTTGGGTCATAAATTCCGAAGATTAAGAATCTCGAAAACTGTGGAGTTCCGATAGTAGGTAATGACATATGAAGTGTATCCCTTCGCATGATACCAGTTCTCGACGGAAAATAAAAAACGGGTTTGGCCAATTTGGTATTCTTTCCAGAGGGTTTGCTCGTAGCACTTCAGCAAATGAGACTTGGAATGCGGCGATATCCTGAAAATTTGCGCTTCTGAATCTGCGGCTTCGGGAATTCGTTTGTTTTCTTCCTTAGAACCTAGCACTCCATATTCGAGTAGCATGCAGTGCCTCATAGAAAATGCGCCCACAAGAGTCCAACGTCTCGAGGAAGACGCGGGTGGGCACAACGTGGCCAACGGTAGGCGAACATGTACGTGGGAGTCTATGAATATAACGCCCGCAAATTTCGGGTTATTATTTTGCATCTTCGCTTACATCGTATAATCTTCGCAAATTTATGTTTGTTTTGAAAGGGGAGGATTTAAAGGCCGAAACTAGCAGCTGATTGATCAGTAAACGAAAATTTGTCTCACTCATTACAGTCTCCGCCAAAAAGTTGGGGGGGAGGGGGGGCCCGGAACCACAAACACCTTGAACCTGCATGACAACCTCTGAGGCTCACCACTCAAAACAAGCAGGTGTCGCCGTAGCATCCTGTAACGGTCTCTCGCCAGCTTCCCAACCTGAATTCTGTGGTCCGGACACGTCGGAACGGCAAGGCATTTTGTAACTTTTGGCACACTAGTCAAGTGAGGTTCGGAAAGCGTGCTTTTATAATAAACCAGAGGTTTGAAGTTGTGCAAATCCTGTCCCAAATTTACAATCAGTAAATTAAAAAATGTCCGCTGGTTTTCTGGTATCAGGCATTGCCAGCAGTTCATTTACAGTGCAAGCTAGATCACAGGTTCTGCCAGCGGCATTGGTAGAGAACATTTAAACGTTTGCATCTGGTTGACCGATCGGGAAACAAACACAGACTCAATTCCTAAGCCATATCTTATAGATATACATTCCAAAATTTTGAGGAATTGGTAACTTCAAACAGAGGAAAGCATACATGTGGCGAAAAAAAATTGAAATGCGTATCAAAACTGAAGCCCCTGTGCAAAACGCACACAAGCAGGAATGTCTCGGGAGACTTCGATATCTAAATTAGACATCACAATACGTAGATTCATGTATGTTATGAATAGGCGTCGGTTGCTTCGAAAAATTACGGCAGTTCTAGACTGGCTGATGCAGCCTACCGAAGCCTTGCGTATATAAATCAGGCTGCAGCCTCATGGTGGATTTTATCATTTAGGGGATGGCGCTGCCTAAAAAGAGACTCAGTCTGCTGCCAGGCGATTACCACTGACGTTAACCGGGATTCGAGTTATTCAACAGTCGGGACCTGTCGGTAAAATAAAGCCATTTACTGCGTGTTGACAGTCAAAAACTGACGCATCCAGAAACTATTGGATTCAGCCTTCACTGCATGCTCGCTTCCATATTGGTTGTCGGTACCCGGCCGATCTTTTCGTTAAACATCTACCAGCATTGCGGAGAACATGAGGTTAAAGGGCACTGCGGCGTAAACGTCGCCTGACTCCCCCTTTATCACTGCGAAGGCCTCCGATGTGGATTTATTGTCTGTCACAGGTCCCATCAGGCCATCATGAAACTTCCGGACCATCATCATTGGCCGTTCAGGGCATCCAGACTTCCTTTCCTCTTTCTGGGCGGCGTCTTGATTCAAAGTTTTAAGGCTTTGATGAGGGCCACAAAAGTGGTGCAAAATCTAAGCCATATTTCTTAGCATTTTTCCTGAATTTGCTAGGTCGCTAAACTATTATCAGCGGCTCTGGAGGAAGTCCTTCTCTCAGGTGAGGATTCGGATGACCTAAGTGTACTCGAATGGAGATTACGCCGGCATTAACGAGAAAGGGGAATCAACAGTGACTGAGGCAGATTTGCCGGTTTACTCTGCGTTTGTGGTGATGAAAAATAGCTGTCTTCTTGTAACTTTACGGGATCCTTGCTCGTCAAGACCTCCAACAGTTAGATGAGCCTGTTCATGATTAGTGGGTCATCTGGGCTTCTGCTGCACCGCT